GAGAAGAAGAAGAAGAGAAAGTAAGAAAAAGACGAGTAAGAAGACGAAGACAGAAGTAGAAAGAAGAATAAAGAAGAAGAAGAAGAAGAAGAAAGTAAGAAGAAGTAGAAGAAGAAGAAGAACGAAAGAAGAAAGGAAGAAGAAGAAAGAAGAAGAAGAGAGGAAGAAATAATGATTTTCTATTCCTATTATTAAACGCGCTGTTCGCCGCTGGCCGACCTTGAGAAATAGTTTGTGTGCGTAGACATCGCGTGACGAGTGATCGATACCAGCGCCACATAGCCCACTATTATGTACTACCACTAAATATTGTTGTATGCAGTCATGCAAGGAATTGTAAGAAGGCAACGCGGCGTTGTGTGGGTTCGTGTGGGTGTTGTGCGCGTGTGGGGGGTGAGTGGTGTGCGTGCGTAGTGCGTTTTGTTCAATTTTTTCGTGCTGCTACACAGGTCTGCGTATAAACTAATTCTATAACTAAACGAAGACTGTTGTTACTTATTCGGTACTGAGTTGCGTAAAGCAGGTGAGAGCGTGCGGCGTGCAAGCTTGGTTTCGTTCGCGTGCTAGTTTTGTCGTTGTGCATACACGTCTGTGTACGTCTCTCTATAACTAGCAGATATTGTATATTATATAATAATAATTACTTATATATAATATATATATAGCTTTCTTGTACTGAATAACGTGATGAACCGCGCGTGCGTGCGTCTCTTCCCTCCTGTGTTATGCAGGTTGCGTATCCGATCTTCAACCTGCTGGTCAACGTGATTAACATGTTTCTCTAACGTCATCCGGTATCGTATGGACAAAGATCCAAAGCGCCAACATGCGGTGAGTGTGGGACGTCAGTGCTGCGATTGCGGTTTCCCTCTCATTCTCCCTCTGTTCTTCTCTCTTTGCTTTCCTCTCCTTCGCTCACTTCTCTTCTCTCGCTCTCTGTTTCTTTCCTCTCGTTTTCGCTTCGTGTGTATGTTGTGTGTGTGTGTGTGTGTGTGTGTTGTGTGTGTCGTGTTGTGTTTGTGTGTGTGGTGTGTGTGTGTGTGTGTGTGCTGCGTGGCGGGCGTGCGTGCGTGCGTGCGTGAGCGTGCGTGCGTGCGTGTGTGTATAGGTGTGTATTTGATGTGTGGGTACTTGCGTGAGTGCGTGCGTGGTGTGCGTGGTGTGTGTTGTGTGTGTGCTGTGTGTTGGTGGTGGTGTGGTGTGTGTTGTGTGTGTGGTTGTGTGTGTGTGTATGTGTGTGTGTGTGTGTGTGTGTGTGTGTGGTTGCGTAGTCGTGTGCGCCGCTGTCTTTCTTTCGATAGTATTTCTAAAATATTTTTGATTGATGAATGCGATTTGCTCGCCGTGAGCGCGGTAATTCCGCAAAACACAGGTAGGTTTTATGAATGATTTGCATCAATTTTGAATGACAATCAGCGGAATCAGAATAATGTGTATGCGGGGTGTGTGCAGCGCGTGCGTCTGGGCAGTACGTACACTTAAGCGTTGCGTCCGTGTTTGCTCGAGTAGACTAGAAGTATTGGAAACATTTATTTCTTTATTTGTTTGTTTTCTTATTTATTTATTCATTTATTTATTTTATTTATTCTTCATTCATTTTATTCATTCATTCCATTCATTCATTCATTATTCATTCATCTATCATCTATTTTATTTATTTATTCATTCATTCATTTCTTCATTATCTATTTATTTCTTCATCATTCATTCATTCATTCATCATATATATACTTAGTTGATTGTTTATTCATTCATTAACTCTTAATTAAACAGTATACCTCGCGGAAGATTTGCGTTGGCGACAGCCACACCAGTCGCGGTCGTCACATGTTCAGCCGCGCGTCTGTGAAGTCGGCGGCACAGACGACCGCGTGATGTTGCACGGCGACAGCAGACAGCGTCTCTGGGATTGCTGGCGCGTAAAGCGAACAGCGGTGAGCGGAGCGATCGCGCGTGTATTTACCTACGGTACTCCGTCTCGTCGCTATATAGCACGGCGCGATCCGACGGGAACTGTGCTAGCTAGCTAGTACGCAGACGCATTTAATGACGGGCTTGCGTGACGCGATCAATGCACGCGGGAGATGGGATAGCGGGCTGGCGGCGGCGGCGGCGGCGGCGGCGGCGGTGGCGGCGAGCGTCTCGTGTCATCACTCGAAGCGAAACGATGCGGGTATACCATTAGCGGCCCCGTCTCATACATTTTCGCGGCTAAAAATTTAAAGTTTTGAAATTTTGTCCGGCGAGGCATAAGATGCATCAGCGTCGCTGCCGCGTAAGCTGCCAAGAAAGGTACGAGAAGGTGGTGGAAACTGCGCTGGCAACTGAACAGATTGAAACAAATTTAATTGTCCCACGTTACAACAGAATCGATTGTATCATATATACATATATATATATAATAATGTGATATAGTAGATATATCAATAATCAATTATTATACTATCCTATTCGGTTGTCTGCCACTGACGTCAATAATGCTGCTCTGTGGTGCTGCTCTGTCATAATTGGTGCTGGGTACCGCGAATTTCCCTGGCGATAAAGGCTTTATTGCGTTTATTTGTCGCTGACTGTGGAATGATTGATCTCACTCTCTGTCCGCTGTAATGCGGGTATATATATATATATATATATATACCTAATATATATATATGACTAATATATATATGATACGCGTCGTATTACGGGATACGTGTATTTGTAAATTCAGTTTTCATTCCAAATTCAATTTTAATTCAAAATTCTTTTCATTCCAAATTCATTTCATTCAAATCTATTTCATTCCAAATTCATTTTGTAGTTCAATTCATTTTCATTTCAAATTCATTTTCATTTCAAACTTCATTTCATTTCAAACATTCATTTGCGTTCCAAGATTCAATTTCATTTCAAATTCATTTTCTCATTTCAAATTATTTTCATTCCAAATTCATTTTCATCTCAAATTATATTTTTATTTCAAATCATTCATTCGAATTATTGTGCGGGCCGCCAATCGGGTGGCCGAGATGGCTCACGGATATGTGGGGGGATGACGTCACTTACCCCTTAGTGGAACTAACAAACTTCAACCAAGAGTAACAAACGCAATTTGTAAATGTTTTGTCTTGTATTATATCGTAGATAAGTTAAGTTTGCTGATGTAAGTTTCTCGAAGAAAAAACACGCATTTACCATTAAGTATAAAATAGTAATATCATTATAATTGCAATCTTGGTGTAAATGTGTTATTTTCATTCTTAATCCTAAAGATTAATGAGAGCGTCTGGGCTCTGTTAATACACATACTCAACCCAACCACACTCATTAGGGAGTGCTCTATATTCAGGCCGGCTAGCGGAGATTACGGTACGCATATTTGCCTCAATATATTGACTAATCGTGCGTCAATAAACTCAAGTAATTCACAGAGAGTATAGCTAAGACATGTGTCATATTTGTATCTAGAATTTTAGACAATTTAATCATCTGTAATTCCTTACCGGTTCGCGCCATAATTTGCGTATTTGACTATCGTGCGGTCAATAAACTCATATTCCACAGAGAGTATATGAATGTCAAGCCGGTAGGAGATCATTTGCCATAATATTATTCTAGATTACCTAGTATAGAACATGTCTTAAGCTATACTCTCTGTGAATATTGAGTTATGACGCGCGAATAGGTCAATATATTAGGCAATATTGCGTACCGTAATCTCCGCGTAGCCGGCCTCGAAGTTATGAACAAACCACACTCATTACAGGCGCGCGGCCATTTTGGCAGTAACTAAACACATGGGTCGGAAAACCTAGTACCCACACAAGAGACACTTAATAATCAATTTAAAAAATCAAAAGGCAAAAAGGCTAGAAGTATTGACATACGCGATAAAAGGAATAAGGCGGAGATATAAATGAACAGAATACGAAATGGACTATAACTCGGCCGGTACCAGCGGATGCAAAAAGGCTAAATGTAAACAAACGGCGTCGTCAAGGCGGTGTCCCGGTATATTTCTCAGCCGGGAAATAAGTCGACACTGCGTGTTCTGCGCATGCGTCAAAACCCGGTCAACAAATTTACCGTGTAAGGCCACGGGAAATTTCTCAGCCGGTAAATAAGTCGACGCTACATTTTCTGCAGTGTGTACTGCAGCAATTATGATGTATAGCGGATGTCGTAAGATGAATCTACTGGGGTAGGCTACTGGGGTAGGCTACTGGCCGCGCGCTTAACAAACAGTATTGATATTCTCTAGCGCCGATATTCTATGAGCTCGTGTTGGGTTTGTTGTGAGATGCGATTGTAGTTGGCAGTGTAGGTGGGTGCCTTGGGGGAGGGACTGTGGTATCGTGTTGTTACATTAGAAAGTGGAGGAGAGTGGTGCGGTGTGGCTGCTAGTACATAATGGATAGTGATATAGTGTTGCTACTTTGAAGGGGTGGGTGCAGTAGTGCAATGTGGGTACTTGGCAGAGAGTGAATAGTGTAGCATATTGTTGTTACTTTGGAAGGTGGGTTTCGTGGTGTAGTCTCAGTAGTTTGTATTGAGTGAGTAGTTATATAGTGTTACTACTTTGGAGTGTGGGGTTAGTAGTGTTGTCTGGCTACTTTAGAGACCTGGGTCGTGTTGCAGTGTCACTGCCTAATACAGGATAGACAGAGGTTTAGCTCGGATGCTTTACAGTAATGAGTCGTGGTAAATGGCGCATGTCCATGTTGGTAGCAATGCTGTATATAGGGATGCATTTATATAGGGATGCATTTCAGATTATAAACATAATGCGAGTTTGTAACCAATAATGGCATGCAGCCATGTGTGTTATGACGGCTATTATATAAACAGTAAGGTTTTCGAAATGTGAGCATTGAATTTAATTCCATACTGTACAGTACACCGTGCGTGAAGGAATATCTGCCTTGCCTACTACAGTCTATATACAGTAGATGATACAACGATACAACGATATCTGACACGGAGAAAACTGATGAGTTGTTTTACTTTCCATTTTAGTTTTGCTTTGAACAGCGAACAGAGAGTCGATATGTCTGCAGAAGAGTATCAGAACAACACTGTCATCAACTGGTTAGTATGAAGCTTAGTTGGGTGGTTTAATGGGTAAGCAGCCGGTGTAAAACTGCTGATCATATTCATTGTTTTGTAAGCTGTGAGCAAAAAAAGGCAGCGAACAGACGAGATGACGAGTGAGGTTTTGGAAAGAGTGAGGGTTTGTGACTTGTGAATATTTATGTCTGGCCATGGAAGGAAAGCAGGAAAGAGTTGGGATAGTGAGGGTCCGGCAGCTGTGGGTGTCAGTGAGATTTCAGGACACATGAATTTTTGAGATCTTTTGAGAATATCGCGTGAATATATAGGTGTTAGTAGGAAACGTAAAACATTTTCCACCTCACTAGCCGTCGCGCACTATCTTACCATTTATGAAACGTCATCGTCTTGCCATGAAAGTGACAATATTTGAAATTATTATTATATAATTATTTTACATTGATTTATTTGTAATGAATGAATAATAAATGTCTAATTAAACTCACGGTCGGGAAAACGTCAGCTTCTCATCACAATTAATCCGCTTCTTAATGCGTATAATAATAGCAGGCGCACACCGAAACCAATTAAGAATCCATAATTAACGAGAAGGCTAATTTATCTAGCTTGTCATCTTGTGTGCATGCGTATCATTGCTGTTGCTGTGTGCTGCAGGGCTGCGATACTCTGCGTCGACAGACACGACATCTTGTGGATCATTCAAGTAACGATGGCAGCCGTCAGCCTTGCAGAAACTCTGCTCGTCACATATCTTAGCTATAAGGTAACACTTGCCCGCATACTTAGTTGATTGTTTATTCATTCATAACTCTTAATTAAACGCAGTATACTCGCGATAATTTGTGTGCGGACAGCACACGAGTCGAGTCGTGACATGTTCCCGCGCGTCTGTGAGTCGGCGACACAGACGACCGCGTGATGTGCACGGCGACAGCGACAGCGTCTGGGGATTGCGCGCGTAAACGAAGCGGTGAGCGAGCGATCGGCGTGTATTATACAGATGTCCCGTCTCCCGCCTATATAGCACGGCGATCGCGGGAACTGTGCTATAGCTAGCTATGTACGCAGACGCATTTTAATGACGGGCTTGCGTGACGCGATCAATGCCGCGGGAGATGGATAGCGGGGCCTGGCGGCGGCGGCGGCGGCGGCGGCGGCGGTGGCGGCGGCGTCTCGTGTCATCACTCCGAGCGAACGATGCGGGTATACCATTAGCGGCCCCGTCCCCATACATTTAGCGCTATAAATATTTAAAGTTTTCAAATTTTGTCCGGCGAGCATTAAGATTGCATCAGCGTCGCTGCCGGTAAGCTGCAAGAAAGGGTACGAGAAGGTGGGAAACTGCGCGCGGCAACTGAACAGATGACAGGCAACGGTTACAACAGAATCGATTGTATCATTATTACATATATATATATATATATATATATATATATATACATATATATATATGTATATATATATATTGATTTATGTAGCTATCTATTTATTTATGTATGCGTGCTATCCCAGGGGCAGACTTACCACCCGTCGTTAGTCTGGCGAATAATACGCTGAGGAAGTAAAATCATCCACAGGCTGGTCATCCATCTATCGTTTATATACTTCACATCTATAGTTTGTGCTGTATTAAGATGTGGAATGTATGGGGGACAGTAGGTAGTAGAATCAGTATAGGGCATAGTGGCGCTCGTTGTATAGCTATACGTACATATATGCACGTCGCGTTTCAGCGAATAGAAGCTTTACATTGACAGTCGTTGTCTCGCAACCTTTGTGCATCGGCTTACGGTTGCGTTTAGCGCTGCATTAGTTTCATGTCGAGTGAAGAGACGAGGGTTGAATAAATTCTCCCGCTGTTTTACGGGCGAAAGACATGTGAGAAGCTTGTTAGTTATATATATTAACAATAATAATAATAATGATGATGATGATGATGATGATGATGATGATGATGATGATGATGATGATGATGACAATGATGATTGTAATAATAATGATAATCATAATAACCATAATCGTAATGATAATCATAATAATAATAATAATAACAATAATGAGAAGAAGAAGAAGAAGAAGAAGAAGAAGAAGAAAAAGAGGAGGACGAAGAAGAAGAAAAAGAAGAAGAAGAAAGGAGAAAAAAGAGAGTAGAAGAAGAAGAGGAAGAAGAAGAAGAAAAAGAAGAAGAAGAAGAAGAAGAAGTAGAAGAAGAAGAAGAAGAAGAAGAAGAAGAAGAAGAAGAAGAAATAATGATTTTCTTATTCCTATTATTAACCCGCTGTTCCCGCTGGCGGCAGACCTGAGAAACTAGTTTGTTGTGCGTAGACATCGCGTGACGAGTGATCGATACTAGCGCCAATAGCCAACTATTATGTAACTAACTAAATTATTGTGTATGCAGTCATGCAAGAAATTGTAAGAAGCAGAAAGCAGCGCGTGCGTGTGTGCGTTCGTGTGTGTGTGTGCGTGTGTGGGGGTGAGTGCGTGTGCGTGCGTACGTGCGTTTTTGTTCAATTTTTCTCGTGTGCTACACAGGTTTGCGTATAAACTATTCTATAACTAAACGAAGACTGTTGTGTACTTATTTCGGTACTGAGTTGCGTAAAGCAGGTGAGAGCGTGCGGGCGTGCAAGCTTGGGTTTCTGTTGCGCTGAGTTGTCTTGTCGTGTGCATACACGTCTGTGTACAGTCTCTTCTATAACTAAGCAGATTATTGTAATATATATATATATATATATATATATATATATATATATATATATACTAGTTTTGTACTGAATAACGTGATGAACAACGCGCGTGCGTGCGTCTCTTCCCTCGTGTGTTATGCAGGTCTGGCGTATCCGAATCTTCAACCTGCTGGTCAAGTGATAACATGTGTTCTCTACGTCATCCGGTATCTACTGGACAAAGATCCTAAAGCGCAAACATGGTGAGTTGTGACGTCAGTGCTGGCGATGCGGGTTCCCTTTCTCTTCTCCTCTTTCTTCTTCTCTCTCTCTCTCTCTCTCTTCTTTCTCTCTTCGCTCACTTTCTCTCTCTCGCTCTTCTTTCTCTTTCTCTCTCTCCTTCTTCTCTCTCCTCTCACTTTCTGCTCTCGCTTGTGTGTCCTGTGTGGTGTTCTGTGTGTGTGTCGTGTGTGTGTTTTGTGTGTGTGTGTGTTGTGGTGTGTGCGCGGACGTGCGTGCGTGCGTCGTCGTACGTGCGTGGTGGCTGGTGATATGGTTGTGTATGTTGTGTGTGCCGGTACTTGGCGTGAGTGCGTGCGTGCGTGGCGGTGTGGTGTTGGCTGTGTGCTGTGGTGCTGGTGTCGGTGTGTGTGTCGTGTGTCGTGTGTGGTGTGTGTGTGTGTGTGTGTGTGTGTGCGTGTGTGTGTGGGTGATGCGTATGTCGTGTGGCGCGCATGTCTTTTCTTTCGATAAGTAATTTCTAAAATATTTTTTGATTTGATGAAGCGTTTGCTCGCTGAGCGCGGTAATTCGCAAAAACCAGGTAGTTTTCGAATGATTTGCATTCAATTTGAATGACAAAATCATGTCGGGAATCAACAGGAAATAATGTGGTATGCGGGTGTGTGCAAGCGCGTGCGTCTGGCAGTACGTACACTTAAGGCGTTGGCGTCCCGTGTTGTTGCTGGCGAGTAGACTAGAAGTATTGGAAACATTTATTTCTTTATTTGTTTGTTTTCTTATTTATTTATTCATTTATTTTATTTTATTTATTTATTCATTCATTTATTCATTCATTCATGCATTCATTCATCTATTCATTCATTCATTACATTACATTATCTCATATTATTCATTTATATTCTCATTTCCATTCATTCATTCATTCATTCCATTCATTCATTCAATACTACTTAGTTGATTGTTTATTCATTCATAACTCCTTAATTAACGGCAGTATACCTCGCGATAATTTGGCGTGCGCACAGCCACGACCAGTCGCAGGTCGTCGACATGTTCCGCGCGCGTCTGTGAAGTCGGGCGCAGCAGACGACCGCGTGATGTGCACGGCGCAGCGAACAGCGTCTCGGGATTGCTGGCCGGCGTTAAACGAACGCGCGTGAGGCGAGCGATCGCGCGTGTATTCTACCAGAATGCTCCGCGTCGTCGCCTATATAGCACGGCGATCGCGGAACTGTGCTAGGCTAACTATGTAACGCAGACGCATTTTAACTGACGGGCCTTGCGTGACGGATCAATGCCGCGGCGGAGATGGGATGAGCGGGCCTGGCGGCGCGGCGGCGGGCAGGCGGCGAGTGGCGGCGGCGTCTCGTGTCATCACTCGAGCGAAACGATGGGGGTTACCATTTAGCGCGCGCGCCCTCCATCACATTTTCGCGCATATAAATATTTAAAGTTTTAAATTTTGTCCGGCGACATTAAGATTGCATCAGGCGTACGCTGCGCGTAAGCTTTGGCAAGAAAGGGTACGAGAAGGTGGCGGAAACTGCGCGCGCAAGCTGAACAGATGACATGCAACGTAAACGAATCGATTGTATTCATATTACATATATATATATATTATGTTATAATTAGATATATCAAAAATCAATTTATTATACTATCGCATTCGGTTGTCTCCACTGACGTCAATAATGCTGGTGCGTGCTGCTCTGGTGGTAATTTTGTGCTGGGGTAGCGCGAATTTCCCTGGCGATAAAGCTTTATTGCTCGGTTTATTTGTCGGTGACTGTGGAGAATGATTTGACTCTACGGTCTCTGTCCAAGCGTGTATGCGGGTATATATATATATATATATATATCTATATATATATATGCTACTATATATTATATGTACCGGAATTCTGCGAATAGCGTGTATTGTAATTCATTTTCATTCCAAATTCATTTTAATTCAAAATTCATTTTCATTCCAAATTCCAATTTTCATTCAAATTATTTTCATTCCAAATTCATGTTTCTGAGTTCATATTCATTTTCATTTCAAATTCATTTTCATTTCAAATTCATATTCATTTCAAATTCATTTCGTTGCCAAATTCATTTTCATTTCAAATTCATTTTTCATTCAAATTATGTTTCATTCCAAATTCAGTTTTCATCGATTCAAAATTATATTTTTGATTTCAAATCATTTTCATTCAAATTCTATTTCGAGGCCGCCAATCGCCGGTTGGCCCGAGATGGCTACGGATATTGGTGGGGCGGAGTGACGTCCACTTTCCCCTTAGTGGGACTAAGGCAAACTTCAACCAAGAGTAACAAAACGCAATTTGATAAGATGTTTGTTTCTTGGTTTTATGATCGGTAGCATAAGCTAAGTTTTCTAGATGTATTTTGACAGAAAAAAGCACGCATTTTATACTCATTAATAAAATATAATATCATATAATGCAATCTTGGTGTAATGTGTTATTTTTCATCTTAACCTAAAGTTAATGAGAGCGTCTGGGTTTGTAATATAATACTCAACGCCAAACCAT